AGAGAGAGAGAGAGAGAGAGAGAGAGAGAGAGAGAGAGAAAGCTCAAGGTGTAGAGATTTGTATCCCCATAGAGGCTATTTATAGAATTATACTAGGGTTAGCCATCCTTATTGAGAATTAAATCAATATCATTGATCTTAAGAGACCTGTAGGGCTAAGAGATCTTAGCCTTACAATCTTTAGATCAACGATCATGATTAAAAGGAGGTGCTAAAACTTTATCTTTTAGCTTTCTTAACCTAATCCCATGAAATAAAAATAATATGAAAATATATTACACATTCCTTTCTTTTCTATAATTCTTTTACGCATGCTTTAATTTGAAAATCAAATCTTTGCAATTTTCAAAACTTTCCTTTTTCCTTCAATTGATTGAGTGCCTTGTTGGCCTCTTCATAAAATAAGAAAAGAAGCCCTTAGAGTGCGTTGTGCCTCTCATAGGGTCCTTATGTGAGCCCCTTGCACTAAATATTATTTTGAAAAAGGTAATTATTTTATTTTTCTCTCTAAATATTAAAATACGAAAAATTCAGTTTTAGACAATTTATAATCCATTTTAAGAAAAAAAATCCAAAGACTTCTAAAACTTCATTCTATAAATCATGAAATCATTTAAGATCAAATTAATTAATTCTAATATAATTTGATGGGATATGGATCTAGCTTTGTTAAGAAAATATTAATTTGCTGAACCACTCCATCTTCTACTATGAACTATAATCCAAACCTACTTTTTCAAACTAACCTAGTAGTTCCCATGACCCACAGATCATCGCAAAGGTTCATGATTGAGCTACCAAAGTTAGCCAATAAATGAAGGGACACAATCCTAGTCTATGGATTGTAGGTTTTCCCCTAGGGACAAGTCCAAGGTCACACAGACTTATGCACACACAACTCTATGGTGTATATGAGGGTTATCTCTCACGCACATACACGTATCATCTTCATTGGTGATTTTCTTTCCCTATACGTCTATCATTAGTACATTTCGTGTGATGGTTCAAGATGAGGTTTTTTTCCTCGTCCCTACAAGCCTACCATCTCACACAAAGGTTACATAGTCCCTTGGACTTGGGGCAACTCCGACCTCATCAAGGGATACCTCTGCTAACGCTCATTGATTGTGCTCTATGCCTAAGTATTTAGAGTTTTGAACTCGACTGGTCTAATTTGTTAAGCCTAGTCTAATTCTGGGCAAACATCATTTGCCAATCTCGGTCCCTCTGGACCATAATCTCTTGGTCCCTCTAGTCCTCACTCCCACTGGATTTTATTATTCTATTATAATAAATTTGGTTATATGCTCTCATAAGGCTTTTAAATGACCACAAAAAGCCAACACTATAGACACATCGTAAGTAAACACAGACTTCATTAATTCTCAAGTGAGTATTAAGAGACCATTGCACAATAACCTAGTCATAGCAAGTGTTTATTTGAAAGATTTGCACCTAACTTCGATCATCACCCTTGAAAGTGGTTATTTAGTACAAGAGCGTAGGTAGTGAGATAAGGCTTTTTCTCGTCTCGGGAGCACACGAGGTCAATGTTAGGAAGACCGGACTAGTGGCCAACTAGTGAGGGCATCAGTCCAGTCAAACCAGTCGGACCAGACCAGTTTTTTAGTGAGACCTGTGATCTTATTTAAAAAATAAAACTATATGGATGATCGTCATCATCATCAGAGCCTTTTCCCAAATATTTGGGGTCGGCAACACGAATCTTGATCCCCCATGTTGCTCTCTATCAAAGGCCATACCATAAGTGAGGTTATAAGTCCCCATATCTTATCTCATTAATTTCAACCATGTCCTTTTGAGCCTACCCCTTGCCATTTTGGGCCTTCCACTTGAACTGACTCACACCTCGTAACAGGTGTTGTACTGGGTAAATTAAACTATATGAATAAATTAGTAAAAAATACTGAAATGTAGGGAAAATTCAAAAGAAACCTAAAAAAATTAAGAAAATGTAAAAAAATATTGAAGAAAAAATAACTCATCAAGCTTGAACAACTCAATACTAAACAACTTTTTTGAGGTTCAAAACATGAAATAGATATACAAGAAGTTCACACGCCACAATCATGAACTTAAACTTATGGAAGCAAAAATGAAGTACAATACTACACTCTACCAGAAGTATCCAAAACTCCACAATACACATCCTATGATTCCATGGCCTTTAAAAGTTAGAATTTCAATAGTATTACACAATACAAGTAGGGGCGAAAATGGATCCGGGACCGGACCCGACCCAAGTCCGAGTATGCGTCCAAAAATTTGACTTGACACCAAGTCCAAATTTTGGACGCCAAACACTATTCAGGTTTGGGCCTATGTAGACCCAACCTAGACCCAACTCGAATAGTGTTAATATTTAAGTAATATTTAATATATAATATTCTAAATAATATTTAAATAAATATCACTATATAGTTTTAGTTATTATATTTAAATAATACATGTATATATAATATATATTTAAATATATTTTTTTATTTTTCAGTTGGGTTCGAGTCTGGGTCCGGGTCCGGCCCGACCTAACCTGTTGCCATCCCTAAATCCAAGTGAAATACTATACTCCAAGACAAAGTCTCAAGTCGTCGTCATCATCATCATCATCATTAGAGCCTTATGCCAAGTATTTGGGGTTGGCTAAATGAATCCCGTTTTGCTATTCCCTCAATCAAGCCATAAGTCACTATATCTCTTTTCACTACTTGTCTTTTTGGGCCTTCTTGTTACCCTTTTAAATCCTTGCGTTTGAACCAAATCACCCCTCCTTCTAGGTCAATGCTGCACACAACCAACCCACCTAAGTCTATTTTTCCTTATCTTATAGCCTATTTGAGCCACCCTTAAGTTTCCTCAGATGTATTCATATTCCGAATTCTATCATTTCTTGTCTTGCCACTCATCCATCTCAACATCCTTATCTTAGCTACGCTCATTCTATGGATATGTTGTTTCTTGACCGCCAACATTCCAACCCAAATAATATATGTAGTCAAATGGAATCAGTAATAAATAGTCATTATCTTCATTCCCTTCAATTTCATCATCTTTCTCAGTATTAGAATCCTCAAAACCACACTCTATGGCATCATCAATCACTCCACCTATAAGAAGTTTAGCATATTACTAACTAAGCTGCATACGTATTCTACATCCTTAAAGTGCATATAATAAGAACTTATAAGTTAAAATATAAATGAATTAGAGTACCATAAAATTAAATTTACCTCCTTGTTGTGATCCTTCCGACTCCATCCAATTATCTAATTAGTCTTCATGACCTTCAAGAGTGTAGTTCTCTTCCTCCCCGACCCATTCATCCACAATATGAATCTTTTCCATGTCCACGGGGTCCTTGCACATGACGCTACATCCATAACATTCCAAATTCTATAAAATTCTGAATCAAAAACTCGTAAACATAAATAGAAGTATAGAACTATATAAGAAAGAATACTAAAATAAAATAAGTGCCTATACCTCTCTCAAGGCTAGGTTGTATTGACTAAGTTATTTAGCCTTTTGTACCCCAACTTATTTCGCTTATCCGTATGGACATGTTGAAAAATACTTCAATTTGTCTCATAGCCACTTGCATTACAAGCCTGGATAAGAATAGGATAGTGAGTCTCTGAAGGTTTGAAACCTTTGAGTCTCTGAAGGTTTGAAACCTTTGTAACAAATCGTGACCATCAATTCGCAAATGATAGAAATGGAATAAGATATAATATTGGACTAGAGATAATCACTTCATTAAGCAACAAAATTAATGAAGAAAATAAATAAAAGAAATTCATTGTGGGAGGATTTTAACACATAAAGCAGTTGCAAACTGCTCCTCTAATAGACTAGGGCATGTAGATATGCGTACATTTCCTTCCCAATCTTCACTTTCATATTTGCACCTGGGTACAACTTTTCTATCATGATGTTCAACCCAATCAAAACCTCAAGTGGGTTAAAAATGTGATCTTATTGTAAAAGTATTTAGGGTTATGATTTTAAACAATTGCATTTATAAGGCAAAACAACAACCTATCTCATCTACAATCTATAATTTCCAAATTTTCTCATAATAGGTCTTCTTGTACTTTTTGCAATGACCTCCTTGGCCTTTTCTATTGCTGTGTATTTATACCCCATGGCCGGTCCAGATTCACCGTCTAAAATCCTTAAAGCCTTCACTAAGGGCTCTGTGCACTTTGCCAACATAATCGTATGTCTGAGGTCATCCTTTTGCAATGACGTACTTTGTGAGGTAAGGGAGTTAGTAGCATATCTAATAGTGACGGCCTGCACTAACTCCCCTGAGTGTGCTTCCTGATAATATTGATGACAAAGCCTTGGTTGTAGATTAACTTTGTTACTTTTTATTTGTGTATGTAAAATGTGGTAACCCTATTTTTCTATCTTTTCGATTTCGTTGTTTTTGTTTTTATTTTTGTCTTTTTTGTTTTTTTCCTTTAGTTTGAGGCTCCCTTTTCTTCATAACTAGTCTGGCCTATGGATGAGTTTAATCTAGGCTCATATCCTGCTTATATCCTGACATTATTTTTTCATTGTAGGGAAAAATTGTTGCTTTAATAATTCTCGTGTGGATTTCTATCTTGAATATGAGCCTCACCCATCATCGACCAAAAACTTGAGACATCTTTTCCAAAGTATGACCTCGTTCCTTCTTCGATTACTGTGTTGATAGGTTCATATATCATGTTGACAATTCCTGCTTGTTTTACTTGTCTTTTATTCATGGTAAAGTATGTTCAATTGTGTTACTGGTTGTACTAACTTTATTGTAGTTCAATTGTGTTCTCATAAATCTCAGATATCCTTCTTGTACCTTCATTATACTATTACATTCATTGTCTAGTGCCTTGGAACCATTGTAATTGGTCAACAGAGGAATCATAAAAAGTAGTTTAGTTGTTGACAGTTTATTTCGTTAAGAAAGCAGGTTCATCACATAACTCCCTGTTGAAAAGACATTTATCTGTTGTTATATACCATATTGTCATTTGTATGTTTATCAAGGTCTTGTGCTGTACTGTACAGGTTATATTTGTTATTTTATGTATTCATTGGTATGATGTTATCACATCCCATTCAATTGTCTCTCCCATATTTGTACCCTGTTATGGTTAGTATTATTCATTCTTTTTAGATTTCATATTCATGGTACCATAGCATTAGTTCTCGGGCTAGCCTTGATCTGTGTTCACAAATGCAGACCATTTATATAAAAAATTGTTGTGCAACAATTGGGTTTTCTTAGATGTAATATTTCTATGCATGCAAAATTGGTCATGTGTGCAAGGTCGGCTCAGGTAAGTGGATACATATTTTCAATTATTTATTTTACCCCAAACATATCTGTGATTACATAGATCCATATCTTTTTTCAATTGGGCCATGATTTTCTAGATTCAAGGCTCTTGTACTTTAAGCGGTTGTAAAAGTTGAAAGAGGAAATCTGAGTTAGACAGAAGATATGGCAAAGCAAGAATCACAGGAAAGAGCTATTCACATTTCTTGTGTCGATTCAACACATCTATAGGGATCCAAAGACCACATAAGAAAAAAAAGACTTGAAGCCACTCTTCAAATTGAAGTGATTCGTCTCTTTTCCTCAATATTTTTATTTCTCAATCTTTCAGAGGGTGATTCTAAGCTACTTTTGTGTATTCTATACACAAAGACTAGGGTTGGTAATGAAAAAAGGGGGAGTGACGGTTTTGTCTCTTCCCTCCCCATCGTTGTCTCTTCCTCACCCGGGGGCAGTTTTTGGGGCTGGCTCTGGGCAGATACCTAGGCCCCGGTGACCAGTGTCTTTTTAGGCTTCATATTGGTTGGCTAGCCTTATAGCATGATGTATGGCAAACGGCTGTAGGAAAAATGATGCTATCTTTTGATAGAGTTGGAAGACCAACACAGTTTTAAGGACAAGTGAGTTTGCTTCACAAAGAACACTTTGGTTATTCTGAGAGCACCATACCCTCATCCTATTACTTCATTTTTATAAACTGAATGTTATTCATGTAGTCTCAAACATATATTTGCTTAGCACATAAAGCACATTTATCACCAGTAAAACATTTAATATTAATTTTTTAATAGGGAACAAATTCTTAAAAGACTCTTATGAAATTATTAAATGATGTGTTGGAATTTGCCATTCAATTAGCATTCAATTATGAATGTACGAATATAGCCCTTAAGAAAGATAAATACAGGAGGTTCTTGGCAAGCTATCAAAAGTTGTGGTCTAATATATGGCTTAAACAGAAGTGCTGGAATTTACTATGTTATATTGGACGAGGCTTTCACCCTTGAATTAGAACTTTGTGTATTATTTCATCTTTTGTAGTATTTATCAAGGGCATCCTCAGCGCTTGTCTAGACTTCATCTCTACATATGCAATGTGCTCTTTGTTGAATTAAATATGGATTCCATTCTCCATGTTTCGCTCGTTGCATTTTTCTCCATTTTTTCTACCTATTTTGGGGTGTTCGCAGAAGAGAATAACTCCTTTTATGTACAAACTGCATTGTTACACCACTTTACCAGATATTATTTTGAGCTTGTTCGTACTCAAGTTGGAACTTTCTTAATTTCTGACCCAAAAGGAAGTTTAAAGATGATGTTGTTCATTTTGAGTTTTTTTCAGTTTTAGTCGTTATCAGTGTTCAACAACTTGGTGCGTCCAACTTGGAGTTGCAGACACTAGGGCTCAGCTCAACTGGGTGCCGGACCTGAATACCTCCCAAACTAGGGGTGGTAGATGAGGTTGGGTAAAAATATTACCAAAACAGCTTTTTTTAGGAAAATGAAGTGTCTTTTTTTTTGTAGAGATATGTTTCTTTTGGGTGGGAGGGGGGGAGGGGGGTGGGGGCGGGAGAGGGAGGAGGTAATGTAATGAACCTGAAACAAAGAAATGACCGAGAGATCTCTTCGACCTTTACCTCCTTCACAGATTTGAAGCTTGGTCAAGTTTTTTCTAAATGATCAAAGCCAGACTTTTGGCTTGTCAATGCTTCCAAAACAATCAAGGCTATTCTTTTTCCAGAGGTTTCTGGTTTAGAGAGAGAGAGAGAGAGAGAGAGATTTCAGCAAGGTTGGAAGTTTATTCTAACTTTGTCCATTTTTTATTTGTTTGTTTTGGTTGTGATTTGATGTTTTACTGTCTTTTACATACTTCTTTTTTTTCCTATTTGATCAATTTTCTTTGTTTCCCATTTTTTTTTGAGTTTTACTTATTTTTTGGGATTTTTCCCTTTTATAAGCCAATTTTGAATTCAGTGCATACTTGGGCAAGTCGAGTAACTCAGCCTAGTCAGGGACTGAGTTCTGCTGGTGAGCTGATTTTGTAAGCATTGGTCATTGCTAGTGATTTAAGAAATGTCAATCGCGATAGGGATTCTCGATGCAGATTGGGAATTTGTGGGTATCACCCCGTTCCTAGTCAGAACCGAAGGTCACTCTGATTTTGATAGACTTAACCCGTCTTGTTAGAGAACTAGGTGAGTTTGTTAGGGAACCAAATCGAACTAATCGCCAGTTCCCACCCTTCCGCCTTTTCTATATTTTTCAATGTTTTCAATTTTAGTAATATTATTTAAAATGTTTGTGAACCAATTCCCATACTAGAGAATCAGTCCAATACAGCCCGGATTAGTGATCCTAATTGGTCTAGTGGATGATTCGGCTCCCTAGCTGGGTTTTAAATCATTGGTTTTTAGCAATATTTCATCAAAAACCGACTTGTAAAATCTTGCCCTTTGTCAAATATACTATCGAGAAATATTTAATTCTTCATATATTTTTGGTATATTGGGATTTATCGCCTCACTAAGAGTATGATCGTTGATAGAGCAGAATGACTGATCATATAGCCGATCCCAAATAGTTGGGAAAACTTTAATGATGATGATGCTGACAACATCTTTGGTATACTGAATTGTGGACAATTTTATCCTAGGAACAATCATGGACAGGGATCTCATTTGTCTTTGCTTAAGCATGAGATTTCAACATGGAATATAAAGTTGCTAGTCTAAGTGCCTCAAACATAGAATATTGTAACTTATCATGAAAAATTACATTTGAATACTAAAGCATGCTTTATTTGTGGTTCAAAAAAGGAAAGTGAGGGCCATTTTCGAATATAGATATGTTTTACTGTAGTTATCTTTCCCTGATGATTTTGCTGTTGTTCTTAGTGATTCGAAAAGGAAATTTCGCAAGGTATGATTATGGGATTTTGGGGAACCTGATACGATATGGTACACTGCACCCCAAGGCATTTAACCTTGCGGGCATCCCACGATCTCTGCCCATATGGATTGGTTATGGAGGTCAGGATGCCTTGGCAGATTTGACAGATGTTAAGCGAATGCTCAAGGAGTTGCCTTTGGAACCAGAATTGCTTTATCTTGAAACTTATGGTCATATTGACTTCATCTTGAGTGTAAAGGCAAACGAAGATGTATATGGTCATGTGATAGAGTTTTTCAGGTCAATTGGTAGAAGGTCTAGTTATTGAATTGCGATGATGTTTGTGAGCATCTTTCCCTTGTATATGACTGCTGTATAGCTTGTATACTTTGATTTGTACTTCAGGATAACTAATTATATAGTCACTAAGAAGTTCTTACCTTCTTTGCATTTGGATAACAATCACCTGTGCTTTTCTTGGTTATAACAAGTTACTAGAATCACAGACATGGGTTGGGTGATCAGAATCAGAGAGCTGATTAGGGTGAGGGACGGTCCTCACATTTTTAGATTAGTCTATTTGTCATTATTCGCCTAAATTCAAGGACAATGTTATATTGTTAAGTTGCTGAATGTCTATAATCAAACTCTTAATTCAATGCCAGACAAACCTCCAGCAGTTAAATTGCCATCAGAGATGAATTCTAGTGGCAAGATTCTTGAAAATTTACCCCTTGACTTGGAAGTACATGTATAGCCAAGTCCTACTAAATTAATTGTAGCGGCGCCCAAGTTGGACTTGGACAAATGTGTTCAACTTTTTTTAATGTCTGTTTTTTAAACTTTTTTTTTTTTTCAGTCGATCTCATCAGCCAAATAAATAGATGGTGGAGATATGTAATCAGAAATTGTACCACTCGTATGGGACCAAAAGTCTTATTATTATATCAGAGCAAAAGATATTTCAAGGATGTGAAATTGTAGAAAATAAGATACAAATCTTTCCCTGAGAAGCTATTTCTACCTTAGGGTGCAGTTTGTATAGAGCCGGGGCTCTAAACAATCAAAGTAAAGCGCAACTTCAAATAGCATTGAGAAATGCGGTTTCAATATTGGAAATCTTTGTGATTAGCCTTAAAATATATTTTCATCTTTAATTATAAAATTTAAAGCTTAAAAAATAGTGTAGATCGAGCAAATCTATAAAAACTTGAAATTTTTTGAAAATTGACGGTCCAAAAATGTGTTACAAGATGCACTATTTCTAAAACTTGAAATCCATTTTTTTTCTCATGTCCATGCATATTGATACCGAGATGATCAATTTTAGGATATTTGAGCATCAAAATCTCTTCTAATGAAATTTTTTAAGTGGGCTCTAATTTGATTGTTTTGAGCCCAGGCTCTATATAAACTATTTCCTACATATAATGCATCTAAGGAGTTGGTGCACACATGCAAGAAAAATGAATGTCACATGTGTAGTAATCTCACGTGTGAGTGAGCTCTTATAGTTTTTATCACGTGTGGTAACAAATAACTTTTTTTATTTTTTTTTAACAATGAAACTTTTATCAATGAGAGAGACAAGTACATTTACAAAATAATAGAATCAGAAACTACCAACTCCGATATAGCCACACCCCTCCTAGCTAATTCATCAGCCAACTCGTTAGCCTCCATGTCAACACGGTAAAAGTTATAATGCGAGTAGATGCAATATCTATGGCATTCAACCAAAGGGATCTAAGGTTCCACGTACCCTATGTCTATGGCATTCAACCAAAGGGATGTAAGGTTCCACGTACCCTATGCTCCTTCGGACGTCTGATAACATTCAAAAATTTCCCTCGACAACCGAGTTCCCCTACCCAATCTCTCGCAACATTAATTTAAGTCCCATCAATCATTTGATAACATTCAAAAAATTTCCCTTCACAACTAAGTCCCCCGTACCCAATCTCTCGCAACATAATTTAAGTCCCATCAACCATGCAGTGAGTTTTGCTTGATTTGCCCTAATTTCACCATAGGGCCTTACATAGCAAGAAATAATGTTTAACATACCAATTCCTTACAACTCCACCCAAACCAGTAGGGCTTGGGTTCGTAAGAGATATTCCATCAAGTCTACTTTTAACTTCAATATTTTTAATCATCAAACTAAAACTTTCAGCAATAATAGAGAATAAAAAAAAGAATAAAGGATCACCTTGCCGTAAACCACGTCAGGCCTTGAATCCTTTTGGGAAGCCATTTATGAGAATCGAAAAGTGTGCTCCTAAAAGGCATCTATCTATCCGCTTTCTCTATTTTTCTCCAAACCCCATATATCTCATAATCTCCTACAAAATCTTTCACTCAACGCGCTCAAAGGAATTCATTCTTGAACAACCAAGATATTTTAAGTTATACGTCAATTTTTAATGAAAACTGATTGGGCCCCAAGATCACAAATTGTCGGTTATAATTTTGTAAAGGCACGTGAGGAAACTTATGGCCAAATGTAACTAAGTTCTGAAACCACGATCTTTGGGGAATTAAGGCAATGTAGGTGGAATTAATATCCTTAAACATTCTTCCCTTATTCAAGACATCCCTAACTATCACTAGCAATTCAATTTTAACCAAACCCCAAAATGTCTTAACGAAAATAAAATAAAAGCATCAAGCCCTGGCATTTTATCTCCTGACAGTAGAAAATGCCCTTTTTATCTCCTGATGTGCCAAATAGGGAGGCAATTGTTTGAAGGGCACCGCCATCCAATCTCACACCATAGAGTTCACTAGAAAACACCTTGTGAAAATGATTAATATTAATCGCTTTCTCTCACAAATCCTGTCACCATCTGGAATCCCTTGGAAATTTCAAACCCGAGATATTGTTTTGTTTTCACGTAGCACTTGCAATTGAATGAAAGAATTTCATATTGAGGTCGTCCTCTTTAAGCCATTTAATCGTGATCGCTGCATATTTCTTCCACTCTCAACAATTCATGTAAGCTATTTAGTAAAATGATCTTCTTGTTTTTCAACTCCTATGTTTTTACTCTCGTATTTTGGATATGTTGATCCACTGCTTAAAGACGTGATAGAGTAGTAATATTTTGCTCCGAATGTGATATCTTGTGGTTATTTTCCAATAAAAAAATGTGTTTTATATTAAAGAGCTTCTTATGGAGAATGAAATTGCAACCACCATTATAACATTGTTACCATGTCACTTTAAGCAAATGCAAAACTTTTTTATTTTCCAAACAACTCATTTCCAATCTACAAGGTCTAGGCCCACTTTTTACTTGTAATGTACTTAAGACAAATAGCTAGATGATCATAAGAAAGTTTTGGAAAAGCAATTAACTTAGTTAACTGAAAAGGCCTTCTCAATAATTAAAAATCATAAAACGATCCAATTTTGACATGATCATATTCAGTTCGCTACTATTAAACTAAGTGTAGTGTGTCCCAGTTAGGGAAGTCCAAAAAGTTGTGTTTCACGATGAAGTCATTAAACATCTTCATGTTCAAGTTAGAAGATGGGAGAATTAAAGTCCTCTCACAATGACATTACTGATTTCATCCAAGAAAGCTTCTTTTAGGGAGGGTACATTGGGGCCATTTACATTAGGGTACGGTTTGTATAGAGCCTAGGCTCTAAACAATCAAATTAGAGCCTACCTCCAAATAGCATCAAGAAATGTGGTTTCAATATTGGAAAACTTTGTAATAGCTTTAAAATATATTTTCATATCTATTTATGAAGTTCAAAGCTTCAAAAATAGTGTAGATAGACATATCTATGATATCTTGAAAATCTTAAAAATTGACGGTCCAAAAATGCATTACAAAATACACTATTTTTAAAACTGGCAATCCATTTTTTTCTCATGTCCATGCATCTTGATGTCGAGATGACGATATTTGGGAATTAAAACAACATCTTCTAATGAAAATTTTGAGGTAAGCTCAAATTTGATTGTTTAGAGCCTCAGTTCTATAGAAACTTTTCCCTTTACATTAATCATAATTCATTTAACCCTTTTGCCAGACCTTCAGAAACAACATAAATAGATCTATCCCGCTTCAAAACTTGTGTTTTTAACAACCCACTAGAATCCCATAACAAACACAGACCCCCGGAGTCCTCAACAGAGTCTATACCACAAATGGTGGTGGCACAAGTGTAGGAGGTGGTGGCATGAGGAATGAAGATGGCTTCACGAGATTGGCTTGTCGATTATAGCTTGACTCACTAGTATCAAGGAGAGGAATAGGAGGGGTGGTGAGGCTTTTTTCGGTTTTTTGTTAGATCATCACCATCATTTTTTTCTCATTAATTGATAAGTTTATCAGGATTCATGATGCGTTTTGACAAAATGTTACGTTGGCTGCCTACCTAGCACAAGCATCCCCTTTTACCTATGCATGGGATGGGTTAACAGAAATTTTAAAGTCATCACTCTTCTTAGATTCCTCTTCGATTTAAAATAGGGTAGTGATTTCATGCAACGGTTGTATCATAGTATAATGCAACAATCTTCAAAAACCATGTTCAAACTATTTGTTTGAACCAAATTTTAAAATATACACTATTTTCATTCTAATGAATGATCACAAAGAAAACACAACCTAGAAAATATTTTTTTAGCCCAATTAACATAGGCCGTCTATTTTGATAAGATGCTTAGACCTAGGCCTTAGAAGGATTTTTTCGTTTCCAATTTTTTTAGATAGCTTTATTATCATTAGATGAATAGTGGTAAAGAAGAAAAAAATGATTTTGAGTATGTAAAGGCTAAGATCTTGAAATTCCCCAAATGAATGGTCTAGATTTGTTATTGAAGGGGGACTCATTTTGACAATATCTAGGGTTCAAATAGAACTTTTTTTTTTCTGGGATTCATTATTGAGATGAAGAGAGAGTGTGTGTAAATTTTTGGGTCATGCAAAAACCACAAACATGGTTTTTAAAAAATGTGGTTGCATTATACTATGATACCACCTTTACATGAAATCACTACCCTTTAAATATAGTTATTTGAACATTTAGATTATAGTTATTGGTTCAGACTGGCAAGGTCATGAGGCACATCTGCAGCTGTGGATGTTGAAGATGACGAGGGCTCTGGGAACCATCTATAAGTGCTCAAGTTGGAACCACTTCATGTTCTTCAAAGTCACTTTTAGATGTTGAAACTGTAGGCTCTGGGGACAAAGCATTGAGTATCCTGCTGAGAAGATTTGGAACCTCTTCACGTTCATGGGGACTGTACAAGCAAATACCAATGACTTCTTGGGCTCCGTTCCTATAACAATTAAGGCCCTTGTACTTCATACTCAAACTCACCCAGGAAATTCTCTACCAAATTATGGGTGTTGCGAAAGTTCATCGCAATGGGCTTGTTTGTTCCTCTTAGCCATGAACAGAGACCCCTCATTGGTAG